GCTGCTCATTCACATCGAAAGGAGCCAGTTGAGGTGGTTCGGGCATCTGACAAGGATGCCTCCTGGGCGAGGTTTTCCGGGCATGTCCCACCAGGAGGAGGCCCCGGGGCAGACCCAGGACACTGCCGAACACCTTAGTCTTCCCCCGGATAAGCTGGAGGAGGTGGCTGGGGAGAGGGAGGTCTGAGCTTCTCTGCCTGGGCTTCTGCCCCCACGACTCGGCCCCAGATAATCGGAAGAAAATGGATGGATGGATGGATACATACGAAAAACCTGAAACTTATTATGTTGTTACAGCATGTTAACCTGTGCCTCAGAACAACTATGCCTAGCTGAGGCATACGCCAGACGGCCCGTAGGTCCCCAGTTTTATTTGTTGCTCTGAGGGTGTGTAGAGAGGAGGACAGATTATTTTGAATCTAAAATAAAAAAAAACTAAAAATATGATGGTGAATTTAACGTAATAATTTACAATGTCAACAAGACATTTTTTATTTTTTAGCCCGTTTTTTTAGATTTGTGAGCCATATTAGAGTCATCTTATTGCGAGTTTACTGTTCAATTTTCATTCTTCTATGTTTTTGTACTTTAACCTGTAGGTGTGGGACATAATAGAGAAGTATGACACAGGCTGCACACCTGGTGGAGGAAAGGACAATATGGGTGTCTTCTTTGATGCTGGGCTATTGTTTGAGTCCAACACTGATGCAAAGACCCATTATAGACAAGGTGACAAAGCAACAGAGCATCCCACTCTTTTACCGTTGTCTAATACTTTTCTCTCGGCTTCACTGCTAAACCCTTGAAGAATGATGATTATTTCTGTCATGTTTTTGAACAGTCCAACAAAAAAGGTTGTGTTGTATTCTTCCTATTTTAGTAACACAAAAACCAAATTCAGTTTCAGGCTTGTTTCATATGGTATATTTCATCGGTGTTGCATTTTACAGAAATTAAATGCCAGCCTGCGAACAGAAAGAAACGCAACGCTGCTGTAATGGATGTCAGAAGCAGCTTATGTAAGTATATACATATAAATATATATTTTACATAAATAACTACATATTAATTCATAATTTCACACATATCACTGTTTTTAATTTTGACAGGCTATGTATTAGTCAACAGACAAAAATATTTTTTTTTTACAGTTTTGACTTCATTAAAATATTTTCTTTTTACAAAAGACATATTTAAAAATGTTTTGTAATGTTTTTAACTTTACAGTAAAACATAGATCTTATACTTTCTTCTAAAACCGTCTCTGTTTTCAGTAAAAAATTATACAGACCCAGTAGAATCTGAGTGTTGTCTGGATGGCATGAAGGAAACCCCCCTTTCATACACCTGTGAGGTCCGCAGCGAGTACGTTGTTGATGGTCAAGGCTGCCGTGATGCTTTCCTGCGCTGTTGCAAGGCAGTGGAAACTCTTCGAGCAGAGAAGAGGGAGGAAGACCTCAAACTGGCTCGCAGTAAGAGATGGAAACAAAATGGGAAGGGGTTATC